CATAATCCTCCCTCCAGGAGAGCGCTCAACTGCCAAATTCAAGAGCCGGGAGGCTGGGCAGCACACAAGCACCGTGCCTCACCTTGCTCGCCCACCTTCCTCCGTCTGGGCTTCGTATGGGTGGCCTGAACTGCTGCTGAGCCAGGCCAGGGGTGGAACTGAGGAGACAGCAGGGAGACAGGAGCGGTGCATAGGAAGTGATCCGGAAGGGAGCAGGGTTAGGCACAGTGTGCGCAGGGGAGCACCTCCCACAGCGACCAGAAACACACTCWGTTCCTGGAGAGCACTGGGATCTCCCACTCGGTCTCCTAGGGGCCTGGTCAGACCCGTGAGGACATTAGGCTCGCAGCCTCAGCGGTGCCTCCTGGTCAAGCCTGACCAGGGGCTCCAAGCAGCCCGTTGGCTGGTGCACGAGAAGGCAGAGGAAATGCATGAAGCGCATGGAAGGGCTGTGGACACGATGACTGAGGGCAAGYGCAGAGCCAGGCCCCGGAAAGACGTTCCCAAAGAAGGCAGGGGAGGAGCTGCGGGTGCGGTGGATGTGCACGCAGGTCCCACCAGCACAGGGTGCAGGCACAAGGAAACATCCCCGGTGCTGCCTGCTTGTGCCCAGCCACAGTGCAGAGCACGCGGGGCGCRAGGGATGTTGGGCGGCTGAGCACCTAGTGATACAAGGAGTGAGAAGCGTTTGGCTGCAGATCAGGGATCGGGGTGACAGTAGTAGGACGAGGAGCAGAAATACCAATCAATCAGTGACTTTCCTCTATCTTTTCTTTCCACGTGATATGGGGAAACTTGGAGGGTAACTCCCAAACAAAGGTTGCAGTGCTCACCGAGGCATGAGAAATTTGACCTTGAAGTAGCTCTGTCAAAGCACTTCAGAAACGTGTCTGGCTGTACTGTGCACTTAAAGACAGAGAGAACTTTACAGACAGGGCCCAGATACTTTCCAAAACTTGCATAGCCAAGAGCTTGTGCATATGAGATGTATGCAAAAGACTTCCACAGATTGAAAGGCTTCTGTGGGTGCAGGAAGCGCAATGCCCTCAGAGCTGGACAGAGCAGCCACAAGCACCCCGACCTCCTTCAGGAGAGCAGCTCCCTGAGGGGGAGCAGCAGTGCCCAGCTGCTGGCAAGTCAGCTTTGGGACTGCCTCGAATGCRCTGTGTTTGCTGCCCGGGCTCCATCGGTTGGCACATGATGCCCTGCAGCTGGGTACTGGGAAGTGCCTGTTGCTGCCTGGCATCAGAAAGCTCTCCTTCCCATCCCACCCTCGGCTCTGCTTGCAGGGCACTGCTAAAGCAAGTCTGTTTGGCTCCTTCTCCTGCCAGACCCTTTCATTAAATGCACTTGTAAGGACAGAATCACAGTCCCACAGTGGTGAGAAACATTGCCAGGCAACTTCACAGTGGTGGTCCAGTTCCTTCTGATGAAGACAGCAAGGAAGATGACAAGATCAGGATATCAGTGAGTTTCTACATTTCTTTCTATATTTACTTTTTATTGGCACCTGCAGTGTGAGAGAAATGAGGCCAGGAGAAATTCTGGAACATGGCAAGGAGGAGATGGACAGTAAAAACACTCTGTGGAGAAATAATGAGAACAGCAAAAAGTGCTGCAACAGAGGCCAAGAGGCAGAGGAGCAACAACTGCACTGAAGCAGTGACTGAAAGATCTGAGCATGATGTGGTGTCTACATAGAAGTCAACATCCCACAAAAAGAAAAGACAAAGTACACAAACACAGCAATAACAACACCAAGTTCATCAACAAATTATTTAGAAGGAAATTATGCATCCCGAAGGAAAAAGAAAAAGCATTAAAACCTGAGAGGAGCATCAGCAGGGACTGGCAATGTTCCTGGGCTGCATGTGCTTCAGCTGCATGAGCCTGCTGGTCTGTTTGGGAGGTGCTGGCGCTGGGATACTGGGCACATGGTTGCTGTTGCTTTATAGACCGCTGTGGTGAAAGACCCCGCTGCTGCCCCGCTGCCCCCGTGTCACAGGGAGAAAACTTGCCCAAAACATCCCGGCTCCAGGCAGCCAACCCCGTGCTCAGCACCTTCCTTGTGTGCAGACGCCAGGCCCACGCTGCCCCAGGCACCAGGGTGCCCTGCAGCATCCCTGGCCACGCACCCAGGTGACGTCCACGCGTGGGGACCGTCCTGCCGCCGCGCGGGCGGGCAGCAGCCTCCGGCACCTCAGCCACCGCCGCTCTCCTCGGGGCGCTCCCAGAGCAGGAAACGTTCCTCACAAGAGGCAACTCGAGCAGGCTAAGAGCAGAACAAGACAGCCTAGCACAGCTTTTCAGGACAGTTATTTATCACAGCAAAGATAAGGTGAATTGGACAGGCAGAGAGTACCATAAACCAAAAACCCAAAGCTCTGTGCTGCAGTGAGTTGCCAGGGCAATTCATTTGCTGTCAGATCATGTCAGACCAGAGGCAAGCTCCTGCTGACAGCTATGAAAATGCTTCTCCTACGTTTGTTCAGAGCCTAATTTTGAAGGGGCTGGAGCAGTGCCTGTGCTCAGCAGGAGCTGCAGGGCTCTCCCCTTGGCTGCCCAGCGTAGTGAGGGCGCCCGGCCCGGCCCTGTGCAGCCACTGAACACCCGCTCACGACGGCCTCCAGCACCACGAGCTCCTTGCAGGAGGGCCGGGCCCAGATCCTCTGCACAGCGTGCCTAGGAAAAGGAAAATGACTGCAAACTTCTGAGGAAAAAAAGAGCATAATCCCCAAATATCTTGATTTTTCTCTGGCTGAACTCGCAAGCAATCCCATTTTCCATGATTATCAGGCACTAACCCTTTCTTGGTCACTTCCAACTCACTGTTTATTTTCTCTTGGTCCATTAAAGTTCTTTGCCACGTGAGCCCCTTCCAAGCGCTCAGGCAGCAGAAGAGTTTCTGAGTTCCTAGTGCTAAATTCTGCAGTTCCAGGCTTGAGTGTTGTGCCAGAAAAGCGCTTTAGCCCAAGGAAAGTTTTTTGGCATCTCCAGAGCTCCCATGGGAATAGAAGCTGGAGGACAGGGCTCGAAGAAATGTCAAGTTGGCATGCAAGCAAAAAGGCAGGTGATCTGCTTGTGCCAAGCCCTCAGTGGCAGCACTAATGCAGGCAATAAATAAATGTTCGTGAGTACCCAACACTGACCTGCCTTCTGGAGCATGCTGGAGATCTGCGCATGACAGAAGAGACCGGCCATGGTGCTTCACGCAGAGAGAACAAGAGCAGAAACTTGTTCAATCTGATGGGACCTGAGCACCAGAGTCTGTGTGGGAGCTGCAGGTGGCTCCGCACAGCCGGGCAGCCCCTGCTGCTGCTGGGGGTTCACACGGGCCCAGCCCCCAGGGCTCTCCAGGGAGGCCAAGGGTGCCAGGAGCGACCCCGGCAGAGCGGGAGCCAGGGAAGCTCTGGAGCCATGAGGGAAACTCTGGAGCCACCAGGGAAGCTCTGGAGCTGCCTGGGAAGCTCTGGAGCCGCCAGGGAAGCTCTGCAGCCACCAGGGAAGCTCTGGAGCCGCCTGGGAAGCTCTGGAGCCGCCAGGGAGCTCTGCAGCCACCAGGGAAGCTCTGGAGCCGCCGGGGAAGCTCTGGAGCCGCCAGGGAAGCTCTGCAGCCCCCAGGGAAGCTCTCCAGCCATGCTGCGCCCAGCCCTGCTCCTGCTCGGCCTGCAGGAAAACAAGCAGCGGCACTTACTGAAAAATGAGAAACGAGTGGAGCTCTCATCTGAAGCAGAGCCAGAACTTCAAAAGAGTGTGACAGAACAGTTTGAGCTTTTACTCTGCAAAACATTAAATAAGATATGAAAAATACTTTTAAAACTGTACAAAATGAAACTTCTTTTCTTTTAAAGTTACAACTGGAAAACTTCCTGAATACACAATCCTGCCCTAGAGCCGATGTCGAGTCACAGCATCTTTCTCTAAGATGAAGTGTCAGGTTCATCCATTTCAAACACCTTTACTGGCTGGGAGAACTTCTCACAATCTCATATAAAAGCCCTACTTTTGCCCTAGAGAGGCACCCTTTGGGGCACCTTTTGGTGCCTCTCAACATCTCTATTCTATGTTGCAACATTCAATTAAAATAGCTAGGATGTTTTAGGACTTAATGTTTTTTCATCATTCAGTGGATCAAATGAAAACTAATTACTGTCACAGATCCTTATGGAATAGCAACAGGATCAAAGGCCAAAGTGCAGGACACAAACTAGAGGATATTGCAGGGGTATAAAGCTACTATTCCCACAGAAGCGTTGCCTGTGTAAGTACTGGGACTGCAGGGACTCGGCAGCTGCAGTCACAGAGACAAGTCCAGGAAAGCATCATTTCAGTTGTACTTGGCTTAGCTGTATTGCCCATATTCATCAATATCGCATTTTGCACCTGGACCTGAAAATGCTCCCACCTGTGCTTGTTGCCGCACCACACAGTCATTGGGCAGCTCATGCCCTTCAGGGGGCACAATCTGCGTCCTGTGGTGAGGATGCCCTGCTCCTTCCTGCAATGCTGCTGCCCTGCACCCCGCTGCAACCCCCGTCTCAGCTGCTCGGAAACCACAGCCTACCTTGCTGCAGAAGACAAAAAGGCTTTCTCTTTCTTTTAACACAAGGCATTGGGTTCAGGAAACATAGCACACTGACTTCTTAAGTATTCAGGTTTATTCTGCWCCCCAATACATTCTGAGAAATATTTTCCCTAGCTGCTATTACATCCCGCTGAGAGAAGTATCAGGATTCCTCCCTTTTTGTCACTATCAGCCCACGCATGCAAACTTCTGCTGGAACAATCTGCTTGCTTCAAAGAATCCGTTTGTGCCACGACTTTGCACATTAATTGGGTAATAAACAACACCCTGGAGCGAGGCAGCGCCCCCGTCCCTGAGCCGCTCTGCTGCCACCGTGCCTGCCCTGCCCTGGTAACAGCCGCTGCGCGCGCRCTAAACCTGGGTGGATTTGCAGAAAGGAGAACAGGGCTGCTCGTTGCATGAGGGACCCCAAAGCAAGGCCGGCTCTTCCATCTCATTCTTGGTTCTGAGCTGCAGCAGGTGGGTTCAAATGCCTAGTGCTGCATTTCAGCCTTGTTTGTTTTGCATTAGTGAATACGTTCTTTTTCCTGTTCTGTATAGAGGGTAAAGAMGATAACACTCATGTAGGCAAACAGCGTGGTATTTACATATATCAACAAAAATAATTCATTTTGTAGGCTCAATATTAATTAAGCAAATATCCTGAATATAGATAACATACATAAATGAATTATAAATGCATATAGTTGTCATTGGTAACAATAAGGATGTTTGTCTATGAATATTTATGCAGTATCATTAGATATAGTGATAATAATGCAGAGGTTAAGCTATGAATGCTAATGTTGGGGTTTAATAACTAGTTTCTAAGGACTTTATAAATGTGAAATTAACCTTGAAATTTCATCATACCTATAGTGCTTAATATGATCATTCATATTTTTACTTATACAACATAATATGGGTGTGAGCTAATCACTATTTCCTAGAGCACCCAGTGATTTTATTGACATTTAATAAAGGAGGATTTAAATTATATAATTAATTAAATGCTGACTATTGAAATATCTAAATTACAAGTAGCATTTCTATAAGATAAAGTTACTGCAGCATGTTCAAAAATATGCATCTTTTTGCATTTTGCTTGTAAATCAATCCACTCCAGATGATTCTAATGCTATTTTCATCTTTATTTCATGAGCAATAATGAGGCATTAACTGTGCGGCGCTCCATTCTTGCTGGAGCCGCGTGTGTCAGTGACAGGCGACTGTGCCCGGCTATGCCCTCCCCACAAACCAGGTCATTGCTACAACTGAAAGACACAGCTGCCTGGGGCGCAGGTTGCCCCTCACYTCGTGTGTCCTGCACCTCGAGGGACATGGGCAGGACACAGCCRTGCACGGGGCATCCCCGCGCACCCGAAGCACCCGGCCCAGTGGGAGCAGCTCTCAGCTCTTCCAAAAGGGGCACCTGGGGATGCTGACTTTTCCAGACCGTTTGCATGATTTGTGCAAGGGTCCTGACTCGCTGTGACGAGTGTTTCTGGGCTGCCTCGCTGCACACTACAGCACTCCTGCCTTCCATGGCCCAAGAGCTGCGCCCAGCTTATGCTCCCAGGCACAGTATTTAATTTCTGTCCTCTCCAACTGCAGCTCTGGARTTTCTTCTTATTAGAGAGGGCAGAAAGGACGCTTTCTTGTTCTGTCTTGTTGCTCTGTGTTAGTGATTTTAAGCTAAAAGTGTGCTGAATGTCTTTATTTTGGCATTTGGAGATATCCTATACTGGCTATTAGCACACTTTCTTTTGAAATTTGATGCTTCTTTGGAGAAGTAGGGAATAAATATCAGTAGATATACAATAAATACTGGTTAGTATATATATAGCATATATACTAGTATTCAGTATATATATAGTAGTAGCAGTATGCAGTATATACAGTACGAATCTACATATACACRTATTCATTGGATTTTTTTTCAAACTCTAAGAAATAAAATTCAGACTGTGTATTCAATGCAAAGCTATTGGTTATGTGCAAGCTTTCAAGTTCTGAATCAGCCCACCATTTTGTTGGACAAATTTTGATAAAACTTCAGAGGAATGAAGCTAAAAAAATGAACACAAGGAACTGAGAGTCTAAGGACTAAAGCTTCTTTACATTGCAGTCCTTCCCCATAATTGGATATTTCAGAACCGTTTGCTGCTATTGCTTTTGTACGTCAGACACAACTGGCCTTTTTTGCCTGCTTAGCACTGGTAAATGTGCTGGAAAATGTTTCCAGGATATGGTAGTTTTTTGGGKTTTTTTTTCCTTTAATGGACTGAATGCTACATTCCATTTACCGAYTAGGAAAAGAGAGCCACAGTAATATCCTGTTTCTGAACTAAGAGTTCGGGGCATAGCGTGACTTTGGAGATAACTGCTGTGTTCCTGAAGTTTAGCTTCTGCTCTGTAACAAACACACGTGGTAATGCACATGAGTCCTAACAAATCTGCTCTTCGATCTTAAGTATTTAGGAGTAAAAAAAGTGTATTTATACAAGAAAGTTGAGCCAAAATAGAAATAAGCCAGGGCAACCAGACTGAAGTTGATGAATTTGTCCCTTGGCCCAATAGTTGGAAGCTGAGGTACACATACCTTTAGGAAAAAAAATCATTTGTTTTCCTGAAGTTCAGTGATTTCCAACTGAGAAGCTCTTTCTTAAGTGAGCAGTGACAACATCAAATTACTTGCTTCAGCGATGACAAGTTGCCCAGAAATCCAATCAGAGATCTCTTCAGCAGAGAACGCTGAAATAATTCAGGAGAAAAGCTGTCACCTTGTCCCGCTGCAGCATTTTTCAATGTCCCTATTGGACTCGGAAGGACTTCTAAAAATTGTTCTACCTGAAGTTGTCCCTAAAACAACTACAGCTTGTTTGCAAATGCAAACACAATTTTCACATGTCAGGAAACAGCTTAAATCATGTTTGTAGTCTGTATTACTTCTATCCAAATGAAAAAAAAACTCTGTATCCCAGAAATAACATGTCTAAAAGCCATGATGGCTTCTTGGTTCAGAGCATTTTGCATTTTCTCTAACAAACAGCTTTATGCATTGAGCAACTATTAAAAGATGTAATTTGCTTTATGAAAGTTGTTATACAGAGATGCGAAACAGGCAGTACAGGAGGATTATCTTCACTGAGATTTTTGATCAGTTTTTAGATTGTCTATGGCTAAATGCATGCATATGAACATAGCTGATAATTTTCTGAATAGTTTTCTTAATACAGAGTACACTTAGCTGTTTTGATACCAGTAATTCACAATTCACAGTGCAGCGAAGTATCTACAGTTCCAGAACACAATGTCAGCTCTACAGATTTCCAATACTCTGCTGTGTCTTCCCAGATGCTGTTCATGGGCTGTCTCCCAAACCTCACTGAAGCTCCCTGCTCCCGCCCCCGGATCCATGCGTTAGCAGCGATGCAGGAACAGGCAGGCGCTGCCGATGCCCCTTCCCAGGGAAGGGAAGCCCCCCCCCAGCCTCCTCTGCTGCCCCTGCCCTGCGCTGGTAGCCGGGCCCGCAGCCTCCTTAGACATGACTTGGGCCTGGGCCCCTGCTTCTGGGGGACTATGCCACAACCTCCATTAGCTGCACACGCATTTTCCAGATGTGTATATTTAAAGAGATGCAGACACTCTTCTCTCCTACAGCAACCATAGCAATCAGGTTTAAATTTGGGTACCAGGGCAGGACAGTCTCTGTGACCAGAGGTTACTGTGTGCCTGTTTTAAAATGAAAAGTCCTACCTCCTTATTTGTTCTGTTTATGGGACCGAGTGTGGACATGTTCTGACACCGGAGGATGCTCAAGCAGACAGGACATGATCCATTTCCAGTACACGTAGAACAGACAGATTTTGCAACATCTGGAGATGAAGTACTTGAAGAAATCATATATTCTTTAAAAATGTTCCCTGCTTGACAAGGGAGTTGGAATAGGTCATCTCTGTGATTCTGTGTAAATACTTTTACTGGTGTTTTATTTGYTATATGAAGCCCCAGGTGTTCAAAGAACTTGTACTTCTTTACTAGGTATACTATGGTAAAGTTCTGCATCTGTCTTGCCATCACACCCTTCTGACATCCTGTAATACTTTACACCTCTGAACTGCAGATGAGATTTTGTGTGTTCAAAGACATACTGAGCACGTGTAGACCAGTGCTATGGGGTCCAGCCCAGTTCATGTTTGCTTGCTCCCATAAGAACATATATTTTTGAGTGGTGCAGAGGAACTGTGGGAGAGAGGTGCAGTTTCTGTGGCTCTGCTTCCGTGGGATTTCCTTTGATAATACATGACAATTTCCATTATGGGAACAGCTGGTCTTCAGAGACTTCCTCCCAGGCATATGGAATCACTTCATAAGAGGACAGAAGGGAGAATCACTGCCATGGTTTTATACAGGCTCAGATAATGAAAAGACCGGCAAGATAAATTTCAAAATGACTAGTTCAGATATGCAAATAAGAAAAGGAATCAGGCTTTTGAGACATTTATGAAAAATTTCATACTTGGAATATACTCAGGCATGTACTGATTTCCAATTCTGTAGATGCATGTCTCGAACATTATTAAAATTCATTGAACCTTGGCATTGTTATCTTCTGAGCATTTCTAAAGATTCAGCAACAGCTAGGAGAGGAAGGAAAATAATGGAAGCATTGCAAGAATACACCTTCATTTACTGCCATCCCGCAGTCCCATCAGTGCACCGCACACAAAGCTGTCTGCAGGATTTCCCACCACAATCACTGAGCTCAGCAATTAGAGCAAACACAGAGTAAATCATTTCCAGCAGCCTCTCAGATTGTTAAAATTGAATAAAGGATGATGAACAAGTGTATACACAGGATAAAATTTAAACAGTCACATTCCATCTGCCAAGGACACAGTGGAAAATAATTGCATGGCTGTATTGTACAACCCAAGTATGTATGGAAGCAGATCAAAATGTTCAGCACTCTGATAGCAAAAAACAACAACTGTTTCTCTAACTAGCAAAGAGAATAACAACAAGATCTTTTTTCTTAATAGAGAAATATCTCTATTGGAGTGGGAATGTGTGCATTGTAGACACACAGGGAAAGCAGGCAGGCTCCTTACCAGCGCTCCTCACTTGGAAGGACCACGGCAGCCACCACCGATGCTCCACATTTGGCAGATCTCCAGCTGTCTGTCTCAAACAAACTGCAAATTCTGGGCCAGTTCTGGCCTTTCGAGAGAGAGTCAGTTATAATATTTAGAAACCTCTGCACTGACACGGAAAATTCCCTGCCCTGGACCTCAAACACTGCCAGAGTAGGAGACTTTCACTTCACCAGATGTCTTCAGGGACGCATGATCTGCGTCCCCCACCCTCTAAATTCCTCCCATACCCAAAGAGAACAGGGATCTAGATATTTTACCATTTTTGTATGTGTGCCTGTGACAATCCAAATACTGCATAGTAGGGACTAAAATGAAGAATGAAATGGGCACATGCATAGTGGATAAATGCGACATAAAGGGGAGACTGCAGCAAAGTTGCTCTGGAGAGAAATCTACTTCACAAATCTGTCAATTGTGGGAAAGTGCCAACACCTGAGGATAAGAAGATCCAATTGCTGAAGACTTTCAAAATCCCTTTTTTTAAAAAAATCCAAAGCCAGGAAGCTTCAGTGGGAGCTAAGGAAAGCACTTCAGGATTAGCAGATGACAGGAGCAGAAGAGCAGTTCTGCTAACCTTCCTATGGGAGAAGGTTGCTGTGGGAAATGGGAAGGATATGTGCTGGCGCTCTGCTCTCAGCCTGTTCACAGATAATTGGGAAGGCGAATGAACAGAAATGTGCTGAAAATCCCAAATCATCCAGAACAGCCACACACAGAGTTTCTGAATCTTTCCATAATCAAGATTTCATGACAGTGATGGATAACTAAATCTGAAAAGAAATTCAGGGTTGATAAATGCAAAGTAATTCCAACAGAGAAAAACAGCTATATGGAGATGGTGTTAGGCTCTTAATGTTGCCACTCAGATTTTTTTTTTTTTAATTATTGTGGATATTATTTGGAAAATTACTGGTTTAGGACTTAGTGAAGTTAAAAATGCAAATAATGTTCAGAACTACTGGAAAAAAAAAAGGTGGGGGGAATAAAAAGTAAACCAGAAAGCAAACCCCGCATGAATTTAAAGGGTACCTAKAGATTGAATGCCATGTAAATTTTCTTTCAAAATAATTTCAAACTGATGTTGAAGATGTGAAAAAGATATAGGAAAGAGCAACATGAATGATGTAAGGTATGAAATCCTTTTGGCAAGAAAGGACATTAAGTGATTCCTTCTGGAAAAAAAAACAATTGAGGAAAAATAATATAGAAGATGATAAAATCCTGAATGACGGGCGGAAAGCCATTCAGTTTTCACAATATAGTAAGTAGGATTACTGAATGAAATTTCAGATTTAAAGGCAATTGAAGAAGCTGTTTTTTCAAAATTTTATTCAACACTTGGTGAAGCTCATTGCCACGGGAAGTTGTGGACATCAAAAATTACAGGTCAGCTCAAGGAAACAGATGGAATRATGGAAGAAAAAACACATCAGGGGCTATGATGTGCACATCTACCACTTCTGGTTCAGTGTATCCYGAGTTGAAGCTTCCTGAAAGTCCCAGACACACGGGCGAAGCCTCTGTCTGTGAATTCCCTGCCCATGAGGCCACCTCCCGCCCTCGATGGAAAAGGACACCGAAGGTGGCAGACCTGGCATGGCCCAGGTGATTCCTGTCGCAGCCCTTCCCAAGGGGATGCAGCGAACATTGGACCTGCGCTGAGTGGAGAGGCCGTGGGCTTTCGGGCTGATGACCCCGGCAGGGATCCCACCACTTCATGGACAGACACGGACAGGCATGGATAGACATGGATAGACATGTACAGACATGGATAGACATGGACAGACATGGATAGGCATGGATAGGCTCACAGCAAAAGTGTTACCTGCAAGGTCTAATTCCTGACCATGTCCTGCTGCTTCCCCGGGAACACGGCCTTCCCCTTGCCAGGACTCCTGTAGAGAGGCTTAAGTAGCTTGTTGCTAACTTGAAATTCATTTCAAATATATTTATTATTAAATACCTCATTTGCTTTGCAATATAGCTCTCAAAGTCTGTGTTCAACTCAATTTCTTTCAGTTGAGATCTGAAGGGCAAATCCTGTTTCTCAGTTCACGTAATTCTGTGTCTCTTCTGAGATTTTTATAAAAGTCAGCAATAATAAATAATGAAACTATGGCACAGAACTATGCAGACAGATCCCTAGCTGTTACTTCAAAGCCAAGCTACGTCACGTTTTATTAGACTTCTGTCAAWCTAGAGCGTGTATTTTTTTTTTAATTTTAAAACCTTAGTAATGCATTCAGCCCTTTTTTTTTCTAGTTCATATGTAATGTCAAAAAAAAAAGCAACTGCATGCACCAGGGTTACTGGCAGTCAGAAATATGAAGACTGAGCTGAGGTGGAATGCAAAGTCCTGGCCAGGTCAGCAGTTGATCAGGACCTCCTTGGAGTACAAGTTCTTCTTCAGCCAACTCCTCCTTCTCCAGAAACTGATTTTCTTTTTTTTTCTTTTTTTTTCTTTTTTTAATTTAATACAGACATTTCCTACCTTATTTTTGTTTCTTTTATGTTCACTTCTACAATTCCATTTAATAGAATTCTATAATTCTATGTTTTATAATTCTGTATTCTATAAATGTTTCCCATATAGCACCTTGCTTCTTACCAGGATAACTCATGACTATAACTGAGCTGGTAGCTCTGCAAACTGTGACATGGAGACACTYGTGTTTGATCATTACATTTGATAAATAAGAAGCATTCTTATTTTTACTATTTTTGACAAAAAAATGTTTTCATAATTTCTAGAAATTAAATATTCTGCTTTAACTCATGTTTAATTTGTTTTCAGGACTTCCTATCCTTTCTCCTTCCCCTGCTTGAAATCCTGATGAATTTCTGCATGTTTCAAGGTGCTCAATACTTCCTTCACTGGCTCTTTCCCAAACTTGCTCTCACGGTGACAACTGCCATGGGGCTCAGTCCGATGTAGCTGCCATCTCTCGTGCTGACCCAGCGGAACATCACGGAACAAGGCAGAGCAAGGACACGCACCGCGGGGCACGGAGCCCACGCAGGCTCTCACTGTAKGTGCCACTGGGAAGCTGCCAAGGGTCCCTCGGTCCCACCACGCGGCTCCTCYGGGAAGATGCCCAGCGCTGCTGGCCCCACTAAATACCCTGCCTAAACCTGGGGCCTCACTGGACCTGATTCAACCCAGCTGCTGGCAGTAGATCCGGCTGCTCATGCTAATTCTGCTCCTAAAARCGGAGAGATTTGTGCCACAGCGTCAGGGTTACAAGTAGCATATAAATGTCTGTCTGAGAAGCTGTTAGGTAACAATTCAACAGCGGTTAATTAAGGACAGGGTTACTTGTTCTGTGGAGTAATCCAAGCCGATAAAATGCTCCCAACTGGGTAATGTTATATTCAGTAGTATCATTAAATATTAGTACTTGCTTCAACAGTAATTTTTACMAGAATTTCCTGTAAGCCTTTGAAAGTGCATGCATTTAAAATAATAGAAAATGAGGTCGTTTTAACAGGATTATGGTGTACACTGAGTCTAGATAAACAGTTTTGTTTACATAAAACATCCTGTACTGATTTATTTATATACTTGCAATTAACAAAGGATGAAAAAAGGTGAAAAATAGAACTAAGATTCCTTGACTTTTTCTCCCAAATAAATCTCACTTTAATGCCATTCCAAGAGATGATTTCACTGTGCAGGAGCTCCTGTTTTTCCCCCTGCCCCGTGCTGTGGGGATGACTGGCAGCTTTCTTGGAGTGGTGGTGCCAGGGCTGGAATATCTCACATCAGACGGATGCAGTCGGGCAGTTGTGTAGAGACTGCAGGAGGGGCAGAGCAGGCATGCAGGGGCTTATTCCTGCACTGTGTCCTGATGAATACTGCTAATGTGCAAACCTGCACTCCGGCAGTGGCTCCTTCTGCCCAGGCCCATGGGGGCCGGCAGCGCCGCAGCAGCAGGACTCAAATGCTGAGAGTGAGCGGGGGCTCTGGGACAGGGGCTGCGGGCGCGCGGGTCCGCGCGGCGCCCAGCGCGGCGCACAGCCCTGCACACAAATCTGAAATCTGAATGAGTCTGAAATCRGGCATGATTAAACACTGAAGTCAACTTCAGGGAGAAGGGCTAGATCCCTTCTATTGAAGTCTGCAAATTAGAGAGTAATTATGTTTAACCAAGAACATCTTGCAGAAACACAAACACACAGTAACAAAGTTAGCTCTAAGGGACCTATACAATTACAGAGACCAAACAAGATACCCTGATGGTTGCTTCAGAATTTGCTCTAAATTAATTGCTTTCTGAAGCGTTATAGAAGAGCTGTTCATGGCTACATGAATACTTCAGAAACTTTTGTATATGAARAATGTAGTATATTATTCCCTGTGTTTATTTTCTGCATGCTGAAAGTACGCAAAAATAACCAAGTAAATTTACTAGAATAACTGAACTGAGTGCACACTGAGGAAATGTATTATCAGACTTCAGAAATGCAGATGGATAGTTCAGGTCTTAACAACCACGAGGCAGATTAGAGCACGGACCAAGCGCGGAGCCCGCTCAGAGACCTGCGCTTGGTCTTGGCTCTTTGGAGGTGGAAGAGGAAGGAGGAGGCGCCGGCAGTAACAACAGGTCCAGTTCCCATCCCTGGATGGTAGAAAAACACGACTGTAGGAAGGGGTTGAGGGACATAAATAGTGAAATGATTGTGGACACCACTGCCACATAACCCAGAACCACCCTCCCGGCTGCAGGGAAGGGCTCTGCTCCAGCRGTGCCTTCCCCGGCTGCCTGCACAGCCGCCTTAACTGCACTGGGTTGGGGTCCAGGTCTCAGTTCTTCACAGTCTTCCCATAGCTCTGACATCAGCTGGTGCTCACCAGCTCGTAATCATGTTAATGAAGATTTGAGCAATGCAGACACAAAAAGGCTCTTTTAGGAAATAGAGCTTATTCTTAATATTTATCAACATGAATAATAGTATGTTAATTTGTCCATGCTAAAGTATCTCTCACATGGTGAAAAAATTCTCCACTGAAAACTTCTCCATTGAAAAATTCTCCACTCAAAACACTGGTATGAGCTTAGGAAATGTTTATGATGCATCTTATCTTTACAATGTCATTCTGTACTTAACTGGCGCATATCCTGTATATGTTACTCATATTACCAGAAATTATTTTTTATATCCTTTGAATAGTTTTTCAAAACCGTCTTGTGACTAATTTTCATATTCTCATGCTGAAGACTGTGAGATGGAAAGTGTCTTTTGTAAATGTATTGTTTTACATTTTATAACGTAAAAACAAACAAAAAGACAATGCAGCATGCTGCCATTTGCATGTATTCAATTACTCCTTTGATAGTGGTACAAGATCAAAAGGATGCAAATTATTCAGTGAAGATTTTAGGCTGCTAGTTAAGAGAATTTTTCASAATATCTGAGCAGTAAAGTCTCAGAGCATCCTGTGAAATGAAGCAGTGAACCAAGAATTTAAATGGTTTTGCACTTTTATAAAGGCATGATCCTTGAGTTAGAAAACAAAATGGGTTATGTAAGATTTGTGGTGATTAATGTTCTGGTGGCTTTAAGTGTGTTGTGGCCGAGCATCCGCTGACCCGTGTGCCCGGGGGGCAGTCTGGTCGCTGGGCTCCAGCCAGCCCGGGCTGYGCAGGGAAGGCAGGGGCTCATCCGCCTTCCCAAGGCTGCGTCTGTCTCAGGACTTCTGGGCTTGCTTTACCTCCTGATGACAACTGCTCTGGCTGACGCTAATTAAAGGTACTCTTTAATTAAAGGTGTGGCAGAAACCCATGTGGCTAAGCCACACTCATGAATGTCTTTTTCTTTTCAAAGCATTTTCTCTCCTCGGTTTATAAAAGCAAATACTTGAATTAAAACAAGTTGCCATGTTCKGCCTTTCCTCCCCTAGCACCTTGCTGCTCTTCAATAACATCAGTTCCTGCTAGGACATTCCCTGTGGAAAGGTCCTGGCAAATGAGCCCTGGCGAGTGAGCACGGTAACGTGCTGCTCACTGCCGTATTGGGCACCGAGCGTCCCCAGCAGCCGCCGGGGCTGGAGAGCTGCCCGCTGGGGAGCTGCCCACGCACATTCGCAGCCAGGGAGCCGCCACGGGYGGCTGGGACACGCGGGGAGCTGCCCTGGGCACATCCTGCCGCCCCATGGAAACGGCAGCAGAGGTTCCTGCGGGACAGCGAGAGGCTGGTCCTGCTCAAGGACTGTCAAATAATGTTTCATGAAAAATCTCTGCTTTAAATGCAAAATGAGTAAAGGCTGAATGTGTGCATTGCCAAAGTGAAAACCTCTTAAATGCCTTCTGTTTCAAATATGCATTAGCTGTTTTTTTTTTCACTTCCTATACTAAAATCACCCACATTCGTAATGATGCTGCGGCCTTGGAACTGAGCTGACCGAGACCAGCGCGGTCTGAAGTCATAGCAGGGCCAGAGTCACATTCACCTCCCGGCCCTCAGGGCCCACTGTGCAATTGAATTAGCAGAGCCGCTCCGTCCACGGAGCAAGACAGGCCAAGCTTTTCCTACAAAATAAACAAAAACATTTTGAGGCTCTCTGGGAATTATTTAAGACTTAAGGACAAATTCTTACATGTCTGTATTTATGCAGTACTTATCATAACCTGACAAAAACTCTTATTAATGGATATACTTCCTGAACACTATGATTTTCTAATAAAGAAAGAATAAGATACTCTTAAAAATCCTCAGAATACTGAAAATAGGCAAGACTAGCTAAACATCCTGATGCAACTTCCAAAAACAGATCCAGAGACAGACTGGTAGCTGCTGAGTTTCGGGGCCCCAACAATCCTGCAGGTGTCATGCAGGTAGCTGGAGGGCCAGGAGGGGTTTGCTGGGTATATATTTATTATATATGAGTATGTATCATATATCATGTATATATATTATGTATCATATATCGTAGAGAGAGAGAGATCCTGGGGCTTGGGTGCCCTCAGCAGCAAAGGCTCATCTGTAACAAAGTGATGATCCCATGCTGTAGGGTGATGAAGACTCTCTGAAAAGTGGCAGAGTCCTGTACAGGCTGTGGAAACCCCAGCTCCTCCCGGGAGGATGCCCGTCCTCTGCTCTGAGCCGGCGGGACTGCTGCATGGGCCGCAGCAGCTCCCGGGAGCACCTCGGGCTCTCGCCCTCGTGCACACACCTCTGTRGAGCAGCGCCCAGGTTTCAATGGAGCAGCGCACGCACTTGCATTCAGCAGTGCCCAGGCTCCAATGGAACAGCCTGGGAAGGCTCCAGCATCATGAGCCCCAGGCCTGCAAGGGCCCTTCTGTGCTCCCATCAGCCCTGGCCTAAGCACTCAGTGTACAAGGGGCACTTGTATATAGGTTTAAATAAATAAAGGTTTAAAAAATTACTGCTGTAGACAAATACATCATTGCAGTACTTAATCAGCTCCTTTTACTGAAAACAAAATGCCAGCTAATCAAGATATCAAGTTTCCCATGGACATATGCACAGGGTAATTGTCTGTGTATCTTAGTAAATAGCTACATTCCACTTCTGCAAACTATTAAGCACCGAGGAGCATGTTTGTTCCAGGCGCTGTGTTGAAAAGGCAGCGTGATGAACAGCGGTGATACGTCTCGCACCTTTCACAGTAAAGAAAGGCACCGACTCAGGGATAAATCTGCCTTCTCTACAATAATACAGTATCATCTGGCATATATATTAGAGCCTAAACCTAGCCAGAGAAAACACTGTTCTTATTAAGGAAAAAACCCTGCTGATGGGTGACTAAGGAGCCCATACCAGCTCCATGGCTCCGTCTTTTACAGACTTGCAATTGCAAGTCCAGAAAGCATCTGTGCCTTCTTAATGCTCCTGGGCATTTTTCATTCTAGTATCTTCTTAGCTTTGTTGTATTTCCTTTACGTGCAGCAAAGACAAGGCTAAGGGAGAACCCAGTCGTGTCTGTCCACAGCGGCCCCYGTGCTGGCTCTGCACTCGCAGGGCGCCCAGCAGCGACAGGGGTCACGTGCGGCGCCCTGGGGACGTCCTGGGCAGGGACAGGGATGGGACATAAGCGTCCAGCTGCAGGGAGTGCAGTGTGGGCAGGGCACAAATAGATCACAACAGCAAGAGCCCTTGGCACCGTGTTATATAAACAGCCCAGCACAGTCAAGCTGAGAAGGGCTATTTCTCCTTGTAGTCTGCAAGCAGACAGGAATTCTCACTGTAATCCCTTCTCAGGGAAAGCCCTGTATGTCGCTTAGAACTGATCAGGGCTTCCTTCGTTTGCCTGCTCTGTGCTGACCCGCTCTGCAAGAAGCGAAGGTGCCTCTGCTCGCTCGGAAGCTGAAAGAGCCRCTGGGTGCCAGGTCCTCCCTGGGCTGCAGGACCAGGGATCCGTCCGTGCCGAGCAGCACGTGGTCCTGGTGGTCTCTCGGCCCAGCTGCCCAGGGCTCCATGGACCCCAGAGCAGTAAGAATTTTTAATGAATTTTTGGATCTAGAGAAACGCCAGAGAACAGAAAGCCTGCAGAAACAATCCAAATATTGAGGAGAGGCAAAGGATGATCYGGAAACTAAAGAGTGGCTGGCATGATGACAGAATAGAATAATAGAATAACAGAACTACAATAACAATAATCTTATCACTGCTACCCCCAGCCTCCTTTTCTGTGGGAAAAGCACAGACGAGCTGCTCTGCTGGTGCCGGCCATGCGGCCCCTCGGGAACTGCGAGGCCAAGATCCACTGCGGTCCCGTTGT